AGATGGAAGATCCCGCTTACCTACTATTCTCATCCTGTGTCAAATCCTTTTTTTTTCTCGTTTTCGTGCTCTCTAGGGCGACTTCCTTCGGACACTGCGCTTGAGGTTAAGCTTAGTTCTGATATTTGATGTAGGACAGAGAACGAATAGTTTCTGAACAAAGAATAGTTGATAGTTTTGTTTGAAAAAGGAAATTTCCCACTTTGTTCAGTCAACCGCTCAGCAGAAGCGGATGCGCGATCAGACCTTTTGAATGGTATACCTTTCGTTGAAAAGGCTTCTTTTTTTTCGTGAGGGTTCACACATTGATAATGAACCGTTGGAAAAGTAGTTTCGTAGGTTTCCTAGCATTTGTTGATCTAGTGTGAGTCACACTTGCAAACAGCTTCGTTGTAGGCATTGTGTGATTGCAATGATTTTGCATTCACGTGATGACTACTGTAATCTTCTGGTTGAAGGTCCTTGATGCCCGAGATCCTCTGGGCAGTAGAAGCGCATCGGTTGAGCAGCAAGTTCTAAGTAGTGGCAAACGGCTTGTTTTATTGCTGAACAAGGTATGTGTGAATATTTTGGTTGGTTCAAACTAGTTCTTTGCGCTTTTTATACCCGATTTTTTCGTCTAGATTGACCTTGTTCCAAGAGATAATGTAGCAAAATGGCTTACCTACCTTCGCACACAGTTACCCACAATTGCTTTCAAAGCCAGCACACAGGAGCAGAATACCAACATTGTGAGTTGTTTGTGTTTGGTTATAGTCGGAGTATATGCTTTGATACAATCAAGTATTGTTTATCTACATGTTTTTCAGAGTCGATTCAGCAGCTCAAATCTAAACAATTCTTCTTCTGCCAAATGCATAGGGGCCGACCTCGTAATGAAGCTATTAGGAAATTACTGTCGTAATAAGGATATCAAGACAAGCATTCGTGTTGGAATTGTCGGTGGGTCAACATAGCACCACTAAGTTTTGCAGTTCTATGGGAGATGGCCATTCGCGTAAGGTTTTTTTTCAGGTTTCCCTAATGTTGGTAAAAGTAGCGTTATAAACAGTTTGAAACGAAGACGAGCTTGCAATGTTGGGG